ACATTGGCATCAACTCAACACATCACTAGGATGAAGTAACTAGCTTGTAAGTAGTTTGGTCAAGCATGAAGCTTAGTCAAGCATGAAGCTTCAAGCTTTTAAGTATTCTAGCATTAAAGCTGGAAATTAGTATTGGTCAGGACATTTCAGCAGACTATGCTATTTCATCCAATCTGAAAAATTTAACAGAGACAACCTTTTTTAATGTTTTCTTCAGGAAGGTTTTCTGAGGCCTGTGTCATGTTACACTTAAGGCATCATTAACCAGCAGCTGATGGGGCTCCCATGCATGGGACCTTGCTACTTGCAGGTACAGGGGGAGCTTGGGATTATGATGCTGGGCTCTTCCTGCACCAGCAATAAGGTGTGATGGGATCTGATACTTGATCCCACAATTATGCTTCCTGCCATGCATGTGTGACATGGCAGAAAGTGCAATTGTGTGAATCAGGCATCAGGCCCCATCGTGCCTTTATCTGCACATCTGGCAGGAGCTTTTGACATATTCTTTCTCTGATGTACACACAGATGAATGCACGTGTATACATTCTCTACGCACAGGTGGATGCATACATACTATCTATAGCCTGGTGACAAGACTAGTGCCCTAGAATGGGGAGGTGTGGATATTTAGTCTTTGTTCCTCTGCTTGATTGAGAGTCATCTGGTTTGAAACTCTGCTTTGATATAACCAGTTCCCTAGACCAAGCTCCTGACAATCCTGAAGGATAGATAAGAGTGAATAGCTCAGATGTCAGTCAGAAAACTGCATTTTCAAGAAAAAAGATTTGAAGGGCTTTGTTTTTATTCTAATGTAGAAAAAGAATAACATTTTTTTAATGCAGAACATAAAATAAAACTGTTGTCCTTCACTCTCCATCAAACTGCTGATTGGACACAGCAAGCAGATTTTTCTGAGGTAAGCAGCCTGATGTCAATTAGTTCCTTGTTTTACTGCCAAACAAGTAGGTTCAGAGATACAGAATTAAACACTGTTGTATATTCCAGCACAATCTAAGAACAATAAGGCAGTAGCCTGAATAGCCTCCACAGAAGACATGTTTTTCCTTAGTAACCCTCTCTGTCTCAGCCTTGAAAACACGTTAGCAGATTGCAAAAGCAATCAGATGGACACATTTTTGGAACATCAGCTTTAAATGGAATGACAATAGGTTTGGTGGGAGGAAAACAGAACAAGAGAGAACAAGGGATGGTGTAAGTCCCAACAAGACCTCCTCATAAAAATTTTGCTTAAAATGTAATTATAGTCTGAACACAATGATAAAAATTATTGTGGTTTTATAGCTATTCTTGGCATGAGACAAGATTAAGTTTGCTAGGTAGAAAAAAAATCATATACAAGACAATGAGGCTTTAGCAATTTTCAGTAAGTGGGTTAAAATCAAGAAAGAAACCAGATGGCGGAAAGTGAAAGAGAATGATTAGAATGAAACAGTTCTGCAAAATTAAGTAATTAGAGAAGTCTTCTAAGAAACTGATGGCTATTAGTACACATATTCCCCTAATTTGGCCCTCACATAGGGGAATACCACAGGGTTATTAAAACTATCTTGGGTGAGGTATTAGTGCACAGAAACCTTTGCCGAAAGCTGTTATGTGTAATAAAAGTCCAAATCATTGCACTATAAAATCTGTTTGAAAAAATAAAAAGGCAAAAACTAACAATGGTACAAATGGATCAAGCAAATTAATAGAATTAAAAAAAGGAGGCCTGCAAGGCACCTGGCAAAAATCATATATTAGATATACGGCACAAGATAGAACTGAAAGATACTACATAAATGGGAGGAAATATTTCCATTTGGAATAATTGAAATGTAGTCTTTCCTATCAAAACATAGTTGCCATTCCTTCTTAAACACTGTCTATCTGTGGCTCACTAAAATGGGAGAAATCAGGAAAAAATAGTCTGAGTGCAGCAAGCTTTACAATTACATCTGTCAGCCCAGTGTCAGCTGGGATCCACCTTATCACTATTAGGCCTGCACTCTCCTGATCCCAAAAAGCATTCTGATTAGACAGGGCTAATGAGGAAACATATACCATTGCTGCTTACACTGAGTCTCGCTAAACTGGGGCAGGCAATTATTTTGGGCGAAGGGCCGTTTACCCAGTTTTGGCAAGCTGTCGAGGGCTGCATAGGTAGCCCTGCCCCTTGAAAGGAGCCCTGCTCCTTGGTCACCATTTTGGGACCAATATCCCAATGTCTTGGCTAGCACCGGTGGAGCCCAGGGTGAGGTGCAGGTTGGCAGGGGTCTGTGGAGCCCGGCTGGGTTGCACCAGCAGGGAGAGGGGGGAGCTGGCCTGGCTCCACAGAGCCCCTGCCAGCCAGAACTCTTTAGTCCTGCTGCCCTGCTCTTGGCTCCACCAGCACTGGCCTTGGGTGTGGGCCCCATGCTCCTGCTGGCTCCCGCTCACTCCTAGTGCCCCCTAGCCCTGTGGTACAGGTGGGAGGCAGTGCACAGCCCCGACCCCCTGCCTGCCAGCAGGGAAGGAGCTGGTGCTGAGCATGGAGGAAAAGCAGCCCTTCCCTTGCCCTGTGGCCAGCTTTCCCTACTGAAGATGCTCGCAGTTCACACGGGTCTGTCCTGAGCAGGCACAGGCAGCCCCAGGTGGGCTGCAAGCAGCTACAGCACAGGGTGCCAGCCACGTGGTGGTCGAGGGGGAGCATTTCCTGCACTCAGCACCAGCTTCTAACCCACCCCCTGCTGCCAGCCTGGGCCCTGAGCCAGCTCCAGCCTCGCCCATTGGGACTTAGCTGGAAAGCAGCCCCCCCACTTGCCATGCCAGGCAGTGTTTGCTGCTGCTGTCCCTATGTTGCTCAGCACACGAGCTGCGGGCGGGCAGCAGCAGCAAATACTGTCCAGCATGGCAAGCGTGGGCACCGCTTTCCTCCATGCCGAACACCTGCTGCCATTGTGGCACAGCCTCAGCACCCTGTGATGAGGGGATGCTTTTCTCCATGCTCAGCACCAGCTCCTCCCCTGCCTTTCCCCCCCTCTCCTTTACCTGAGTTTCCAGCCACATGGTCCCAGGCCAGAAGCCGCTGCTAGGGCTTCCAGCTGGGGTGGCGGGACCAGGTGGGCCCTGCTGTTGCAGGAGCACACCGGAACTTCCCCTGGGTCCTACTGCCCCTGGCTCCTGTCATTTTTGACAGGAACCAAGGACAGATAAATATTAATGTTCTAAATTTTTTAGGGACCCTGCAGGCTGGATAGAATGGTCATATTTTGCCCACCCTTGGTCTAAACCCTGAACTTAGGTAGTTAGTGTCACCCCTAATCTCATGGATTGGTTTTCTTTTCCCACTTATTTACCCTTATTCCTTTCTTCCTTACCTTCTGTCAAATGGGGTGCATATGGAGATTTCCTCACACAGCCTGGGACTGTCTCCAAACCATCCCAGTCTGGGGCAGGTCCCAGTCCTGTACCATGATTGGGCTATCAAGGCATGAGCTTGGAAAGAGCTGTGTGGGAGGGGCAGGTCCCAGCCCCTGCCCCAGTCTGCCAATAGGGCACCTAGCAGCAACCCTCTGGCTGGGCAGGGAATCCCTGCCAAGGCAGGGGCTCAGTGCAAGCTGCCTCACTAGAGGATCATGGTAGGGGGCTGGGACCTGCCCCTCCCCTGGAGCACTTTCCAAGCCCCTTGCCTCCAACTGGGGAGTCAGGGCTGGGAGCTCCCTGCTGCCAGGGCAGGGAGACATTGTCCCTGTCGGGTTGTTACTGGGAAAAGGGGCATGTCTTCACACCCAATAGCTGTTCGCAGGTCATTTCCCCGTGCATAGCTGCTTTGGGGTGGCTCCCCACCTCTCTCTCTCTCCCTTGTTCCCACCTGCCATAAATTTTCTGGTTTTGCTGGTTCTTGAAGATGTAAGGAAAGGGGGAGAGAGGGAGAGGCTGGTACCACCACTCGGTCGCTACCAGCTACTGATGTGTCTTATGACCTCTGTCCTGGTGAAAAGAAAAGGCATCAAGTTAACTGAAGAAATGAAAAGAGATTTTATTTGGCCAACAGGGTCTCCTTCTGAGTTTGTCTGGGTCTAGCCAGCGCCTTTACTCATCCTATCTTCCCTCGAACAACTGAACCTTCTCTGCTGGGGCTTATTGGGTCTCTTCTTTACTTATATTGCTGCCTCGCCCAGCTTGATTGTTTGAGAGGCAGGCAATTAGGGCAAGAGATACCTTGAGTGGGAGCATCTGCTTCTTACTCCCTCTTCCTGGTAGGTCCTCGTCCCTCTCAGAGCCAATAAGATGCCGGAGGAGCACCTCTTGCCATTTCTCCGAGGGAGAGAAAGTAAAACAAAACCCAGAGGGGACCGGGTTGGGTCCGAAGCAAACCCCATGGCACCCATTCTCTCTGATCTGCATTGCCGGCTTCTCTGCCTTCATTAGCAAGTGCCGGTGTTCAATTAACCCAACAAAGTGAAATTGAGGGAGAGAGTACCTGTATTCTTCTTTCTACACTCTCCCCCTCCATGGATGAGGGTTCCCCCTCCTGTGCCCTTGAACTTACCGGCTTCTCATTTTCCCGGAGTTTTTTTAGTCTCGGGCGGGATGCAGCCATGTGTTACTCCACCTGCTGACTTCTGATTTTCCTCTTCTCCTCCCAGCCCTCTGCCCAGTCTCATATATTGCTCTGGCAGGTGTGATTCCCCAATCCATGTCACCTGGCAGCATGTTAAAGTGGGCTGGGTGCACGCCACCAGCTCCCGCTGTAGCACGGAGACCTTATTCTTGGAGACCTTGAGCTCGGAGCTGGGGGAGGCACCCTGTTCTTTCACAGTCCCCACCTGGGATCTGCCAACAGAACCCACCCTGAGCAAGCAAGTCCCAGAGGCAGGGAGCAATCTCCCAGCCCCAACCAGGAGACAGTTGTCTCCTGGCCCCATGCTCCCTGCCAGCCCCTGTTTTTTAAAGTAATCAATAAAATTAGAGTCACAAAGACATTCTCTTGATTTTCACTTAGCCTAATCACTCACCACTTTGCTTTGTCTTGTGTCTCCTCCAGCACACCACTATCAGAATCACGACCAGAAGTATGACAACACACACTACTGAAACTGCTACAGGAACTGAATGTGACCATTTCCCTGTAGAAAACAAAACCCAAACAAAGCTATTGGGATAGACAAAAAGAACTTAAAAAAATTAGATGAATGCCGACAGACATGACAGTGGTGTGGACAGACGTGACAGCTTGTTGTGTGATTGGCCACTGAATGTGCTCTACAGCTAGGCACTGACAGAACTGCATGGCTGCAGAGCACTTAAAAATGACTGATTGTGTGACATCCTAAGACCTCATTATATAAGGGTTCAGATGAAGGTGAACCAAAATGGAGAGCCTTCATTAATGTCTGTCAGCACAGCCAGAGAGCAGGGCTGAGCTGATGCAGCTGTACTTTGCACTGTCTTTGGAATGGAAGGTGGGGAAGGGAGGGTAGGGAACTTGTTTTGGGGATTGTCTAGCCAGCCCTGGGGGGTGAGGTGGGTGGATTGGAGTCCCCCTCTGAGGTTAAGTGATTTGCACAAAAAATGTAATTTGCAGAAAAATGCTACAATTATGTGACTTGCTGAGGAGTTCCCCAGCAAGTAACCATATCATGGTATTTCATTGCAATAAGATGGCTGCTACAGGCTGGGGAAAGCATTCCCTTGTCAGGAGTAAAAGCCTAGCAGCCCAGGGGAGGTGGGAAGGGGTTGCAAAAGGGACAGAGGAAGGAGAGAGCTTGGGGAGGGGTAGAGGAGGGCTGTTTGATCCTCCAGATGGGAAAACTGGGGCAAAGAGGACTGGGGGTACCTGGGGGCTGCCCTGGCACCAGATAGTGGAGAGGCTGTTTGCTCCTCTGGTAGGAAAACTGGGGTGCTGGGGGCTGGTTGGAAGAGGGGGGAGGGAGAGAACACATGCACACAGGACCAAAAAGCCCCTCCCCTACCCGGTGCCTGGGCTGTCTGCCAAGGCAGCCCCCAGGTGCCCCCGACCCCCTGTGCTCCATTTTTCCCACCCAGAGGAGCAAACAGATCCTCCCTTATCCAGCATCAGTGCTTTCTGCTTAATGCAGTCAGCAGCTTCCAAGGCCATGAGCTCATGATCACTATTGATTGGCTGACACTGAGTTCAGTGTCAGACTCTCTGCTGATTGGCTGGAAGCCTGGCAGAGAAGAGAGGCATTTTGAAAAGGGAATTTCCTCCCTGCCCCTCAGAAACATGAGGCAGACAGCTACTACTGCCATTTCTGCCTCTTCCAGTGAGGTGGAGGGCTAAGGAGGGGCATGGGCTTTTCCACAGTGATCAGAGGCCTTGGGAGTAAGGCCTCTGCTGCTGCAATTAAACCTGGCCCCAAACCTGCCCCTGAGCAAATCAGGGCAGTGGGAGGGGGGAAGGGGTGCCACGATCTGGGCACAAAAATGACAATCAGGCTGTGATATTAGCGAGCTGGACCCACAATTTAAACCAGGTGCTACTAGTTACCTCTCCCTGGTACACTGGTTCAGCTTGCTATAAAACACATGTGGTCTCATAGGTCTCTCTTCCTGAGAGGAGTGTGGGATACTGCCATGCCTTAAGATGTACTGGGCGCATCTACACATGCTAAATTTACTGCACAGTAAGAGCCTACATGTGTAGCTGGTAACGCTTTGCTGTGCAGTAGATTAGCCTACTGGACAGTAAAGCATCTTGTGTAGACACGGCTACTGAATCCAAAGCAGGATCCCCACTCACTCTCATTCTCCAGGCACAGCATGCATGTGCACAGACACTATTCTCCCTTTTTCAGATACATGTTAACCCACCCAAAACTGAGGACTGAAAATATGTTAATGGAAAAGGCTGCAGCAAAGAGGAAGCTAACATCTGATTGCACGTATCACACACTGACCTTCCACTTTCACAGATGAGATTTTGTCTTCATCCATGGAACTTGCTCTGCAGGTGAGATTTTGCCCAACTAGGCTTTCAGAGTTGTTGATATAGAGGTGACTAGTAACAAGCACTGTTCCATTCAGGTCACTGACTTCCTCTTCTGTCTTCTTATTCTGATTTTCTAGCCCAAGCCAAGTGATAGTAGGACGAGGCCAGCCACTAGCAGAACAGTTGGCCATCAGATGACCTTCAGAGAGGCTGTAGCTGACAGATATCCTGAGTGGTTCTGAAACACAAACAAACAACATGTCAGCAGAGGAAGCTGTTGATCAGATGCAATGTCAATTAAACCAATAACAAGAAGTGCAGGCCCACAATGAAGAGACAGAAACATATCCTTCTACCCCAAATTCTCACCACAATTGAGTCCCTATTCCCATCTACTGAAGTGACCAGCCTTGGAAGACTTGAATTTATCAGACTATAAGGTTTAAGAGTTTCTACTGAGAGGGTAAACCTGTCTATGGTCTGTGCTCTGATCTGCTGCCAGGAGTGCTGTGGCAATGAGGCCACACATACTGCAGCAGTTATACCTGGCACTGAAATGAAATTGCAGGAAGAGCACTCTTACTGTTCAAGTCCTAGTTGTGCCTGGCCAAGTCTGTCCCCCAAAGGAACTGCTATGCACATGGCACCAAAATCAGGATGTTCATTTCCTGTGTGCAATAATTTGGTTCTGCAAGAAGCCAAAGCAGAAATTTTGACCAATGTGTAATATGGAAAAAATACGCCTGAACTCTATTACATACAACACCTATGCCGTCTGCTCCTGGAGTGAGAAAGGGCAATCAGAGTGAAGCAAGCAGCAGCCCTGGCAAGGCCATGCTTCCTTCCCTCCTGCACTGTTCTGGCATACCTTCTCTTAAGTGGTGCCTTGGACCTGTACCCACTTACACACCCCACATTATGCTACTGAGCAATGACAGGGTATTGCATCCAGCTGATGCTGAGAGGGCACTGCTGTCAGAAGGCTTCTCCGCCTGGAGTTCTTAATGCTCTGAGGAAAAGCTGCAGATAGAAAATAGATTGTCTCCCCTTTACTTATACAGTTATGTCCCCAGAAAGAACCTCACCATAAACAGTCAAGCAAGTTTCCTTTCCAAAGGATCCAGCTGGAAAGGTGTTAAAGAGGCACTTATAGCATCCATTGTCCTGGATTCTAACTCCCCAAAAAGTGATGGCTGTATCATCCAGTGATGTGCCTGTAATGTCTAATCGCCCCCGGTATGGGTTTTGAACCTTTGAAGAATTTTTCTGGTAAGTAGCCACATTTTCAGGGGATGGGCTTGTTTTCTTCTGCCATGTAACTTGTATGATGTCATGTGGCTTCCTCAGGACACATCTCAAGGTTGCATTGCTGCCCACCTCTGCCTTTTGGTTCATTTTTGTCTCTATATCCACTGTAATGATATAAAGCAATTCATGAAATACACAAAAATCATCTTTGATCACTTTCTGACTTTTTAGATTTACCAGAAGCCATACAATGATTGCATTCTACTGACTTCAACTGAGCTACAGTATCTTGGTTTACACCAGCTGAGGACTTTCCCTTCCACCTTTATCAACACAATGAAACAGGCAAAGTTTCCTTGCCATTATCTGTGTATACCTCCTTCAACTTTATTAAATTCTGTATATCTTGCATGGAAAGTGATTTGACTTTTGCTGCCTAATAAGAGAATGGAAAAAGATCCAAGACAGAGCTGTATTACGTCATTTTCGTGATCAGCAAGGGAGAGGGAAGAGAAAAAGTTCAACTCCATGAAGAATTGACATGCAGAAAGAGAAACAGACTAATTCACAGGAGACTCAGTGGTATCCTTCTCACTTTATTTTGCTAAGTAGAGCCTCAGGAATTGGAGACTAGCTCAAAACCTGTATATATACAAGAAGAAATTACAGTTGTCTTACCATGCGCCCTGCAGAGTAATGTAACAGCAGCATACCACACCAAAGCTTGTAAAGTCTTATGAGAATCAAATTGCCCATTTATCTGAAGAAACAAGAAGGTACATAGAATTAGGTCTTAATAACACTATTGTTTCCAGTAATTAATGCTCAGCCTATGGATCCACAGTGCTTTCGAGTGGAAATGGAACATACATTTACAGACAGCAGTCAACATAAAATAAAGGCTCTGTTACCCCACACAGACCTGACTGAAGCTGAAAAAAGGATAAATCAGTGGGTGCTTTTGATACACAAAGTTCCACCTTTAGAGAAAAAAAATTCAAACAGGATGTCCATTTTATATACAAAAGCTTTGCACATACAGTATATAAATACATTATCATTTCCTTATGAAAAACATAACCATAGGTGCCTGTGAAACTAGGCCTAATTTTTAAGTGGATTCAGAGCATTGGCATTTGCTGCCTTAGAAACCACGGTTACAAGCAATCAGAAGGATTTTGCAGTTTTGGGATATTTTAGGCATATTTTACAATTGAGATGCAATAACTGCATATATATTTTTTACCAAATGCTTCAGAACATTAAAATAACCAACAGTTTTTGAGTCCTGGGTTTAGGAAGAAGTGCCACCTTTATGTACAGCCTGGCTTTCTCATTCTTACAAATATATCCGAGGTATCAGTGTTATGAGTGATACAGGGGTATCAGTAACTACCAACTAACACATAGTAGAGCCAGCTGTGGAGACAGATAGACAAGAGAGACAAAGGGAAAGATCTGGGACCTGACATTACCAGGACCAGCTTCTTCCTCCCATAGGTATTTGCCACATCTGCAGTCAGATGTGCAGATCTCAGAGTGATCTCCTCAACAATCCCCAAAAGACCAGCGGTATTTCTGTTGGGGGCATATGCCTACTCCTGCATTTACTGTCATTGAAAGATATGTCTTTCCAGTTGAAAACCAACATCTTGGGAACACTAAATTAATGAAGGGTGGGGAACATTTGGTAAAGTTAAACAAAAAAGCCTTGCTCCTTAAAGTTTGACCTCAAGGTAATTGCCTGTGTTTCAGGAGCAAACAAGGAAGCACAGCTGCAGTGAGAACAATAAGAGCAGAACATTTATAAAAACAAAAGGAAACCAGAGGATGGGCAGTATTCTTGAAGAGATAGTGAAGAATACAAAGTGTTCTCTGGAGAGATGTAGGAAAAATCTCAAAGGCCAGCTGGGAAATGTGAGAAGTAGCTTCAGAAGCAGCTGTTTTTCAATACACCTGATTAATACACTATCCCTCCTTGAGATCCAAAGCCAAACCACATATTCAGCCTGTATGGCTGAACAGGGCAGGAAAGGAAATAAAAGGCAGCCACTATTTAATACATGTTTAGGTTTTTTGTTCTTGTTTGTCTGGGTTTTTTCAATGCCTACCACTGAGGATGCTCTCCAAATTCATGTGTAATCCAGGCTCTGGTTTCCCAGTCGGAGACAAGGTATCAGCCATACTCTGGCTCTGTTCTGCTATATCTCTGCCTGGTTTTATTCTCAAACAAAAAGGATTAAGCCAAGGGATGACAGTGTGCACAAACCCACCAGCAAGTGGTCCCATCTCCCTAAACTCAGAAGGAATCTCAGAAGGTCCTGGGTTAATGCACCCATCTTCACTATTTCTCTCAGATGCTTCAGGAGTACCCCCTCTGGACCGCGTACCCTGCTTCCCCCAAAGGTTACCCCACTATCTGGGTGCAGGGCACCATCCTGAGAACTTTACCCTGGGTCTGAGGGAAAGGGTGGAGATAGTCTACATTTCCAGAGTGCTCCAGGGCTTCAGGAGGTTGACATGAAAAGGGCTGAAATGTCTGTCATTCCCCTGCCAAGTACACCTCATAACTTACCTCCTACCTTCACCACATGACCTCCAAGGGACCCGGTAGTTTGGCCAAAAGTTAATTTTCAATAGAGAGGAACAGCAATAAGACCCTATCACTGGGTAGACAATCCTGAAATGAGCATTTTTATATAGTTTTGCTCCTGGGATTGCTGTGTGGCTTGGAGATCTTCCTAGGTGAAAACCCCAATTAAATCTAGTCTTCGGACACTAGAGAACATACTTGATCACATTCTAGACTTTTGCATGATGCATTTGTCAACTTGCTTATAGGAGGTTTGTATTCCTTGGGGCAGAGTTACAAACAACAGCTTAAATAGAGAAAATTTGTTGATAATTGTGCAACTTCTGAGATTGCAAACAACAGGCAAAATATGAATCTGTCCCAATTCTGGGGCTCCCCAGTTGTGAAGTTCCATAACAGCCCCTTTAGTGCCCAATTGAACTTCTCTTCTAGCCCATCCAGCAGGGTTAGATTGACCAAAGCTTAACCGAGTAGACCCTTTGAAGGGTGCATACTTACTCTATCAACTGGCACATGGTCATGCCTTGGTATGATAACATTAACCGTGGGATCCCAACCCAAAAAATAATTTTATCAGCCTTGTGACAACTGGTTGGCTCACAGAAGAGCAGATAACTATAGCTTCATAGTTCTGGGTGGTGGAATCCAGTACTTACAGAATGAACCAACATCCAAAAGGTCTTGGTTCAAAAGCCTTTTTTTCCACCCCAACTCAGTCAGATACTACTCCTCAAAAGAAGTTCTGATGTAGCAAGTACACTGATGTAGTACTAGATGACTTTCTAGACGGGATTCACAACATTCCTTGATGTCACAAGAGAATCCTAGATAAAAAAAATCCAAAACATTGTGAGCACCCTCTTCTTTATCTTCTCGAATCTCAAAATGAGACTAAGGTAATGATGGTAGGGTCAGGGAAATAACTGGAGCAGGTGGCAGAGATCAAAATATGATGAATCAAAGATATGATATTTATGAGCAATAACTATTAGTTACTTGTAGAGATAGCTTGAAAATGACTAATTTCCCCCTATCCTTTCTGCCCCCCCCTCCCCAGCCCTCCCCTCCCACACTTTATTTTGGCAAAATATTGAGAACTAATGCATTTACAATGAAAACCTTATTATTTCCATTGAAAATGCCACTGCGATGCCCCATTAAATTTGTGACTTTGGGGTCTTACTCTTATGTTTTCTACTGTGGTCTAGGTTGTCTGACTCCTTTCTTCATGAAGGGAAAGGATGCATCCTCACATATTGGTACATCATGGAAGAGGTAGTCTAGAAAAAAAATCTACCCATTAAAGAAAGTGGCTTTAGAAAATGGCCCACAGACCCAGAAATATGACACCTGAAGTCCAACTTCCCTAAGGCATGGTAATGCCATTTTTCTTCAAAACATTTTCATTGGTCCACTTCCACTGCTTGCTTTTGATGATATATTTATTTTGCCAAAATTAGACTATCACAGTGCACTGTGTTTGGGGCTACACCTTATAACTCTGTATGAAGTTATATAGAGACTGAAACTGGGCTGCTCACTTTCTAACTGATGCATTGAAGAATACACATCACAAATCAATTAATGGGTGATGTCGCAGGGCACTAAGGTGCCCTAATCCTAGAAGAGCAGAAACTGCCTGGGGAGAGGCAAAGAAGCAGGCAGAAGCCCAGGTACAGGTTACCAGGGCAACAGGCTAGTGAGCAAATTAGCCTGCACCTGCACCTGGTCAGCTGACCAGAAGGGGCAGGGCCCTGGGCCCATATAAACCCCAGGCTGGAACTAGGGAAGGTAGTTCTCTGCCAGCAGCCAAGGGGGAAGGAGCTCTCCTAGAGGAAGCAAAGGAAAGAGACCTGACTTTAAGTTCTGCTCCTGGTAATGTTAAGGGGTAGAGCACACCTTATGCAGTATGAGTTATGGTATAGCCTAGGGGCTTGCATTTTTTTCTTTTGTTTAGAACACCAGTGGTTTGGGTGAGCCTATTAGGGAAGGAGGAAGCTTCACTGGGGCTCACTACTGTGGGGGCCCCGGTGCTGGCGAGGGCGTGGTGTTCCAGGGGGCATAGGCCTTGGTGCCGGTGAGGGCGCGGTGTTTGGGGGGGGACACAGAGAGCCCTGTAATGGGCTGAGTGAAACCAAGGCTTTGGAGGAACATTGTGTCAGTACTATCTGCGAGGCTTGGAGTGTGGTAAAGGTGGGGTTTGGTGCCATGCATATAGCTCATAAAGCTGGGGTGTCCCAAGATGTCCATTGTGAAACGGGACCCAGAAGGAGTCCAGGAACCCACGGGGTTCAGAAGGTGTATCAGAACCATGTCCAAGTGGACTTCAAGGCAGCCTTCCTATTTTTATAATTACATCAAGACGTGGTGGGAAAGACTAGAGGGTGCCCATTGGGCTGAACTGGCTCGGTCAAGGGGCCTTGGGGGTAACACGGCCATCCTTAGGGACCCCATCCCATGATGGGTGATACAAAGAATATAGAGTTGCTCAATAACAATTTGCTTCAGTCTTCATAATATAAACTTACTGCAACCAAGCAGTTAACAATATTAATACAGACAAAGAAACGGAAGGGCTGAACAAGATAATATGTGAACAGCACATCAGAGAATTCTTGACACACTTGAATTAAGTTGTGTTGGAGTAGTGAAATTCTTCCCAGAATACTGAAGAAACTGGCTGAAGAAACCTCAGAGCCCTGACAATGATGCATGCAAAGTCATACGTAACAGAGAGGTCCCAGGGAACTGAAGGTGGGATTTCCAGAGGCAGAAAAGGAGAATTCAGGGAATTATAGACCAATCAACCCAACTTTAATATCTGGGAAGTTACTAGAGCAAATTATAAAACAGTTACCTTGTAAAAACCTGGTAATGAAAAGCATGATCACAATTTGTGAGAACAAATCCAAACCAACTTAATTTCCTTCTGTGACAGTGTGACAGTTGTGCCTCCCCGGGACCGTCTATTTGTGGTCTTGCAACACCAGTCAAGGGCCAACCGCCCGCCTTCTCATCTGCCACGCCTTGCTGTTATTTGCTTGATTGAAAGATCTTAATCAAACGGGAGGCTGCCTATTTTCTGCCTCAGTGCCTTAGGCACTATCTGCGGCTCCTTTCCTCCCTTTATACAGCAGCCCAAGCCTCACAGATGTATCTGGTGTTGTTCAGGTCTGTCCTACTCCCTGCGCTGTGTGGATGCTCTCTGGCTTACCCCTCAGCCTGCACCCTCACTGGCGCCCTCTAGCTCATCTCAGAGCCCGCGCTCCTACCGGCACCCTCCAGCCTGTCCCGCACTGCCCGTTTCGGGACTTCTCGCCCGTGCCAACTCTGGGCTTCTCGCTGCTCCCTTCAGTTGGGGCTTCTCGCCCCCCCCCTTTTGCTCTGGGGCTCCTCACTGCCCCCAAACTCTGGGGCTGGGGCCCATGCACCCCAAACAATGCTGTGCCCTCTCCAGTGCCAGGAACCTCCACGCTACTGTGGAGTCCCTATGAGGCCTCCTCCAACCCCTAATAGCCTCACCCGGTCCTCCGGTGAAACAGTAAACACAAAATGCAAAGCCCCCGGGCCACAACATAAAAGCTAGACTGTTCTAGTAAAAAATACGAATCCCTCCCTACCAGAGAGAGAGAGAGAAAGCGCATCAACCCCCAGCAGGAACCAGGGGATGTTCCGACCGTCAGAGTTCTCCCCTTTGTTCTGGCTGAGTTCTGCCGCCAGAGGGGAACTGCCCTCCTGGCCGTCTGCCTGGGCTTAAGAAGGGCTAAGCTCCGCCCCTTCCTGTCTCTAGGTTTCCCTGGTTGCTAGGGCAACCAGCACCTGTGCAGTCCTGGTGACTGGCAGCTGCGCTTCCCCCTTCCTGCCACCAGAGGTCTTTCCCAAGTCATTTCTGCTCTCAGATGCAGGGCACCTGAGAGCTCTGCGACAGACAGGATAACTGATTTAGTGAACGTGGTTGACATGATATACTTGGACTCTGGTAAGACTTTTAATAGTCTCACATGACATTCTCATAAATAATCTAGAGAAATGTAGACTAAATAGAACTACTGTTAGGTGGATGCCTTTTAGTCTACATTTCTCTAGCTTACTTAGAGAGCTTCCTGATCAAGTCTAAGAATCGCACAAAACTGGAAGGGATTGCAAACACGTGAGTCGATGAAATTAGAGCTGGAAGAAACCATGACAGACTGGAGAACCTGGCATTAGACAACAGAATGAAATTCAACAATGACAAATGGAAAGTGCTACACCTAGGCAAGTAAACCAAGTGCATGAATACAGTGGAAGATAAGCTAGGTAGTATCATTTCTGAGGAGGATTTTGGATTTGGTGGATCATAGACTCACAATGATCCAGAAATACAATGACAGCTAAACACACCAAGAAAGCTGAAATATACTGCCAAGCCCTCCAATACCACCAAATCTGCACTGAGCAGAACACCCATGATCATCAGCTTGCAAACCTTAAAAGGGCTTTCATTCAACAAGGACACTCCTCCGGAGAGATGGATCACACTTTTGAAAGAGCCACCTGGATGCCCCGTGAAGAATTGCTGCAGTACAAAAAGAAAACCCCCACGAGTCACACACCATTAGTTATGACATACCATCCTTCCTTGGAACCTATATGGAAAATTCTCATACAACTGCAACCCATAGTAGAAGACGACCCAGTTCTTAAAGAGATCTTCCCAGAACCACCCATCCTATCCTTAAACAAGCACCAAACCTAGCCAACCTTATAACCAGAAGCAAACTTCCTACTGGCCTCTGATCCTCACTACTATGCATTTGCATTTTCACAGACCTGCACTTTGCATATTGGCTTCTAATGCATCCAGGAGAACACAAAACAACAGCAGACTTTCCCTATGCCCAAGGAAGGCTGTTTGTATCCGAAAGCTTGCAAGAAATGTTTCCAACTATTTGGTTAGTCTAATAAAAGATATCACATTTATCCAAAGACCCTTGTCTTCCAGAAATACAAGCATTCATCAAAAAGGCAATTCCAATTTTGGGTGCGTTAACAGGAGAATAGTAGGTAAGACATCGGAGGTGATATTGCTATTCAGTGCTAGTTAGGCCCAAGTTAAAATATAGTGGGCTTTGTAACTAAGAAGGATATGGAGAAACCAAGAGGCAAACAACAAAAATGATAAGGGGATCAGAATGTAAGCTGTATGAAGAAAGGATGAGAAAACTAGGTGTGTTTAGTCTGGTGAAAGAGATTTAAGGGGGAGACATGACAGAAGATTTCAAATATTTGAAAAGAAGAGAAGGGACAGCTGTTCTTTATGGATACAGAGAGCAGGACCTCAGCTGACAGTCATAAATGGCACCCAAAACAAATTTTAAATATTGCGTTGGAGAGAGAAGAACTTCCTTATTTTCATGAACAGTAGAACAATGGAACAAGCTGCCTAGGGAAGTTGTAGAGGTTTGTGGGCACACATACATCTGTGGCTGTTTCAAAAAGGGAGCTGCTGATCAGGAGTGCACAGCAGCAGTTACATTCCAAGTAGCATAACAGGGGTATGGCAGCTGGCCTACATGTAACTGTTAGAAATGCAACAGTTGCTTCCCAGTTTAAAGCAGGACTCCCCCAAATGTACAGATGGTCACAGGATTTGATTTGAGAGAAGAAACTCGCAGACATTCAGATCTTGTTCTGAACTAGTGATCCTACCAAGGGACACAAATAGGGAAGGGGTGTCTTTTACATCCCCCTGCCAGTAAGTTGTCACTGCTCTAGGTGATTAGGAGATGGTGCTGAAATCCTGGCACTGGTACTCGCCACTCCACTGGCTCTGTGTATCCGGTATAGCACCACTAGATTTCTACTGATAGCCTAAATACCCTCATACTATGCATTTGGGATGCCTCTACATAGGTGGAATCTTTCATTTTAAAGATGACTTTTCATAGTTGGTAGGGTCGGAAGGGACCTGAGCAGATCATCAAGTCCGACCCCTCCCCCCCCACAAGCAGTTTAATTTAAGCTGGAATAATGGAAAGTAAAAAGCTTTAGCACTTTCTAATGCAAAAAATCAGCCCAGATGGTTGGTTAGTTTCTTTTTTTGGAAAAAGAACTGCGTATTTGTTCCCAATGCCATTTTTAGCTTTACAGATTAGGAGACACTAGGCTATCTGAGAAACAGCCACAATTATGAATTTCTGCTTTTGTGTTTTGTTTTTTAAATTTGCATTTTATTGAAGAACTGAAAATACATTACAGCTCATCATTCTAGACTGAATCCTTCCAACTTGGACAATGGAGACCTTTACCAAGCTCTGCAGTAAAAGCCAGACCTAACCTTCTCAGGTTACAAATAAAAGAAGTAAACTCCACTTCCCAAACATAACTCTTTATTACTTCTTTTTATAAATAACTAAATAAGCAAAGGCAAGAAGAGTCATTTCTACTTCCTGCTTCATCCATGCAGCTAAACTTTTATAAGCAAAGATCCATGCATAAAGTATACAATTGTGAGATGTGTTTATGCAGTATCTCCCCTTCCTCCAACATTAAACAGTGATTAGATAAAATACTTGTCTTCTTTGAGGCAGGGACTGGAACCCACATCTCCTCAATTGCAAGAAGAGTGACCTAACCAATAGACTAAGGTGCAGTTGCTTGTCCCACCCTGTTCTAAACATGATGAGTCTTAATTTTTTTTTCTGAAAAATGAAACACCTTAAGCAGGAGGAATGGAGAATATGCATCCCATCCTGGAACAGATTTCGCTCTGGTGATTAGGATATTCTCCATGCAGCTAAATGGGGGTTTGAACTCCCTCCAGACAGACTAGGACATTGAACTTGGGTGTCCTGCATCCCAGGTAAATGTTTCAGCCACTGCATGAAACTATTGGATAAAAGGATGGCCTTTACAATGATTTGGTAAGTAAGATTGCCTCTACTTTGTTTTTGATGAGGCAAAGGGCCCAAACTTCAAGGGAAGTCTTCAGGGCAGAAATGTAAAATGGAAGGAAGTAAATCAGTGTTGGGGGGCGGGGCAGGATTTATGACACACTCTTGGCTCTCGCATTTCCTAGGCTGAGCTTTCTGCTGTGCATGCTGGCTCTTAAGTGCCCAGCACTCTCCCTGTACATAGAGAGCCCGGGGACCCATATATAATAGGTCTAGATTTCATTCTGGGAACCAGAAAACACCATTTGAAGTTCCTTCTTAGACCTAGCACTTAATGTACTATTCTTGGGATGCTTTCTGGGTTTTGAGAATGGCCTTATGCATTATCTGTGGTTTCTTGGAGTCAAAAATTATAGTTTTGTGGTGCTATAGGGTAGAAAATATTGTGATCATTAAGCTCCAACCCCACTTATATCACAGACCATTACATTGCACCTAGGTATCCCTGTATTGATCCCAGAAACCTGCATTTAGCTAACATAAGTCTTCTAGAATGGCATCAAGACACAAGGAATCAAAGCACTGGGACAGGGAGAATCTGCCCTTTCCCTAGTACCTGGGTCCAATAATGCACAGCCAGCACTATAATAAAATGTGGCATTTTGAAGGGAAGCAAAAATGATTGAGGACCCAGGAGACAGGGTGTATGAGGAGCTGTAGTTGTTTAGTCTGGAGAAGAGTAGTCAGAGGGATAATTTGATAATAGTCAAGTTGCTGAAATCCCAGACAGTTGTAAATACCTGAGATCCCAGAGAGGATGGGGATGGGCTTTCCTCTGCGGCTGCAGGGGCAGAATATGTCTTGATCTCAAGACCCATCAAAAAGTTCTGGCGGAAACCCCGGGAAGGGAGGGGGTGCCAACGCTAAGGGGACAGGGCTGAGAGCAGTTGGTGGACATGGGTGTTGGTTGTAGCTGTGTTGGTTTAAGGGCACAGGCAGACAAGGGTCTTTGGGTAAACGTGGTATCTTTTAGACCAACTAAATAATGGGGAAAAAATCATTTTTGCAAGCTTGCAGGTACAAACATGCTTCTTCAGGCAGAGGCAGAGTTTGCAGGGGGCACCAAAATGATATGCAGAACAAAACAAATGGAGCTTCATGCTAAATAACAGCCCTGGGCGATTTACGGCTCTACCTTGGTTTAAGATGTTTGGATGGACAGGGGGAGAAAGACCTCTGAAAAGATCTCAGAGGAAAGATCACTAGAATCACGACTCCTACCTTTTGGGCACTGAGGTACAGTGATAGGTGGGGGGAGCCGAGGTACACAGTTCACCCAGGACACCAATTATCCTGGGACTGGCATTGGTTTGCAGTCGTCTGAGGATGCGTGTTTGTGCCTGAACGCTTGCAAAGGACAATTTTTGCAGTGATGTAGTTGGTCTAATAAAACAGTCCCATCTACCCAAAGACTCTCATCTGCCTATGGCTGCAGATGAAGAAAAAAACATATTTTTTCTCTCTCAATGTCTTAGTCAATCTAATAAAAGTTTGTGTTTGTTTCTTTTTTTAAGTAAATGATTTTTGTGATCCAAGCCAAATCAGGTCCAAATCCGAGACTCGCTCCAGGACCATAAGTGGCCCCACAACTCACAAACATCCTCCACCCCCACCTGGGGCTTCAGATATTTCCAGCATCTTTTGCCCGGTGTCCTACGTGCTGGCCCAAGCCGGGAGGCTCAGGGTCTGGATGCCCCCAGAGTTTCGCCTGCCCTCAGCCATAGGGCTGCAAGCTGGGGAGGAGCCTCCCATTTCCATATCATGGGCTTTAAGCCCCAACACCTCGGCAGGTACCAAACTGCGCCAGAAGACCTGGCCCCAGATGCGTGGAGTTCCCCTGCCAGGTAGGTATCTGGAACCGGGAGTCCTAGATTCGTACTTCTCTTGCTGGCTCTACAGCGGCATTTCGGCCGGGGATGAGGAGGACCTTGCTAAGTCGGGCTGCCTTTGTAGGTTGAAAGAGAGCAGGGCGCAGCGCCGGGGGCCCCTTCCCGCGCCCCCCGCCCCCTCACGGCCCCGCCGGAAGCACAGCCCGCCCCAGCCCCCTGGCTTGCCCTCGGCCCCCTCACTCACCTCACACCCCATCGCTGCCGCCGCCGGTGCTGCTGGTTCTTCAGTGTCCGAGGGGAGGACAGCCTGACTGGCTATCCATTTCCCAGCCCCAAAAGCGGACGGTTGTTTTGCAGATCTGTAGGACCACCTCTCTGCTGCTCCTGCTGCCCGGGAAGAGGGCTGGTGGTGGCTTCCCGGTGCCCGAGCTCAAGCCCCGTCTCGAGGGGGAGGGGGCGAGGAGGGAGAAGAGCCAGGGGCGCTCAACGTCAGACGCGAGGCGCCCCTCGGGAACCACCCGCACTTAGTTTTTTCCATAGTCAGGAAATGAGTGAAGTCATACAAGAGGTCTTCTGTTCCAAACAACTGGGAGCAGAAACCTTGCAAGGCTATGGCTTCCTATTTTGAAATGTCTCCATCTGTCCCGTGGATCATGGCTGCACGCAGTTTGAGTATTTCCGTGGCACCACATCCCATCCTTCAAAGGTTGTCATAACACCCCAGGCTGCTGCAGCGCCATGGCAGAGACTCGTTGGCCCCTGTGGTGTAGTGAAGCACTAGAGAAACCTTGGACACAGACAGGAGTGACGATTTTTGCCCAATCTGGCCACAGAAACTGGTCTGTAGCTGTGACCAAACACAAGTGCATGCCTGCAGACCACTTAAAAAATAAGCAACTGGGTGGAAATCTGCCCCCTTGTTGCACGAGGGGGGTTAGATGAAGACATTTTAAAACAGTGTCTCTTTTGTAACTTGTGTCTGCGCTGCCTGCTAGCCTCAAGCTGTTTTCAGAAAGGGATGGGGCAAAGGGATGGAAGGAGTTTGGTTTGGTTTTTTTTCAGCTCCTGCTGGAGGGTGGGGCAGGTATACTGAACCACATCCTGGGGACTCCAGTTCATGCCCCCCACCCTCCAGTGCCAGCTGGGGAACCTAGATGAGCTCCCTCTGCTGCCTTTCCCTCCTCCCCTTCTGAAAACAAGGAACTGACAGGTAGGAGGAGCACTGCTAGGGGCAGCCAGCAGTTTGATTCTCCTCCTGCCTGGACCCCACTGTGAACTTCTGTTTGGTCTGGGGGATTGTTATAGCTCAGATCATTTCCTGCAAAGTGTTCTCAGTTGCAGCAAGCAGCTTCACTTCTGTCCGTGCCTCTTGTGATAGTTCTGGATGCAGGACTGACCGGAACCAGGACTACAGCAAGAAGATGGTTTGGTCTGAGCCCCTGTGCTATCATCCCACTGCTGGATCTGTTAGGGTTATCCACTGTGGACCATGTGCTTGAGTGTTTTGGCATAAGTCTGCCAGCAAGTGTGTGCAGGGTGGGCACAACTACCTAGAGATCTGACTGTCATGCCTCTTATTTACACAGGGTGATTTTTCATCCTTGAATTGTAGAGGGGTATTGTGAAACTCATCATGAAGCATAAGGGTCATTCTGAAGGCTTCATTGATACATAGGATTGTCTGAGCCCCTGCACATCTATGAGACTCACCTACAGTGCTGCATTCAGACTGGTTGGGACCCTGGGAAAACAGAAAATTGAAGACCCCTACACTCCATTATAAACATAAACGTATCAAAAAGCATTAATAAATAGACCCGTTAAATGTTTACGTGGTGCATTAATAAATAAAGCACAACATGCAATGTCAAAATTAACTATTCAATTTTGCCATACACAAAACTAAATAAAAAAGTGCCTTAGGAAAATGACTCATGGGATTGTCATAAATGGATAATAACATAAAAGGAATGATGTTTCAGTTTAGGGGTCATGTAGACTCTTGTTTGACTCTTTTTATAAATATACAGCTTACATTGTACCTACACTATGGTAAATCGCTACAGGAAAAATACAGGTCATACCGATAGCCTCGAGTATGAGTCTAAGAATACTGTTAGTGCTTCTTGCAATTACAATAAATAGGCCTACACAATACATCTCATTTTATCATTCCTGAAACATTAAACATGTGCTAAACTTCATATACTGTAAATCTCTTTTTATATACCCATTCCACCTGTGTTTTAATGCTCTCATCACATAATTAAGTAACCAAAATATATAGATATATTGATATATACATACATACACATAAATCTCTCTCCCTATATGTAGATATATATATTTCTCTCTCTTTATATCTATATCTATATATGTATCTCTATATCTCTATATACAGATATATCTATATATAGAGATATATATACACACATACATAAGCTTTCTCTCTCTATACAATGTATCTCTAGACAGACAGATAAACATATAGACAGACAGATTTATATTTAATCATCCCCTGGAAGAGCTCACACTTCCTCACAGGAACTGCCATCACTTGGGAGACCTCTATCAGCAGCCTGATTTGGGGTCGAGAACTGCAAGAAGCATCCAGGGGACAGTGGGATTCTCCTTGTCTACGTCCCAAAGCAGTCCTTGGCAGAGGGACTAGAGCACCACATGCTGACCCATGGGAGGATCTGATGTGGTTTGAGGTCATACCCCCCCAACACACATGCACACACACATACTGTTTGTGTCCACTGCGAGCAGCATGTGCCCACCAGGCAGGTCCCAGTGCATTTCCAGTTCCCTGTCTGAGCCAGCTATGGGGGAGCTCTGTATGATTTTGCTGAGCAGATGGATTTGGCTCCAGTGTTACTACGGCAACTCCATGCACAGCAGCAGCCCATCCCGAGCCACCTTCCTGCCCTGTGACCTGACACTTGGGAGAGAGGGTAGGATCAGGCTCCTTCCAGGCACAGGAACAGGAGAGAGAAAGACAAGTTGGGCAGAAAACAGCAGGAGCAGCAGGGGTTCTTGCTGCCACCTCACCCCAGCCATCCCCATGGAGTGGTCATAAAAGTTCCTCCTGCCAGCTGTCACACAGTTAGCACACAATTGAGCTTCAGTTCTTAGCAGGACTTTCCTTTGTAGGCTGGGGAGCATGGCAGGCCCCTACCCTGGCCTGCACCCCTCAAGGGGTCCCTGATTGGCAGGGGCCTCTGGGCCTGGGTCCCCTGGGCCGATGCTTTAAACCACCCCTGCTTACCTAGAAAAATAAAGAACCTGCATGCTTATTTAAGTAAAAAAGTTATGCACCCAGTACCTGTGTAAAAATGGTATACCTGCCACTTCAGGGACTTAACAATATGGTAGTTAATACTAGTACTAAATATATATGTTCAGCTTTACATTTACAAGGCATTCTGCAGGCACTGGGCGTGTCTACACGAGATGCTATGTCACCACAGTGATGAGCTGCAATGACATAGCTCCTTGCTATGGCAACATAGCTTTGACAGGCAAGAACCATGATGTCGACACTACTACACAGTAGCAGTGAACTACTGCACACCAGCTTGCTCTGCACAGCTTGCTCTGCACCCTTACTACTGCACAGTAGGGTCGGAAACAACCTGTGCGCTGTTGGGACTGAGCAGTAACACTGATTCCTGCACAGTCATTTAGTACTTGCTTTAGTACTAACAAACCATCTTCTTGCTGTAGGCTTGGTGGGGAGAAGGGTGCCTGCTTATTAACAGGTGACATGGTGAGGGAAGCCCTGCTCTACAGCAGTCCTGAGCTGGGTATTCAGCCTTAAGTAGCAGGTCTAACATTAAATAATTTCAAACAGCCATGAAGTTACCTTAACAGTCCCTGCTGGGAAAGTACATACGGCAAACAGGAGCTTAATGGTACTTTCTTCACAGGGCTCCCAGGCAGCTTTCCGCTGAGCAGGATGTGATGGAGTCAGTGTTCTCCCTCCCTCACTCCCTCTCCTTTGCTTTAGCCCACTGACTATTTTTATAAGTAGGACCACTAGGTAAATTCTCTTGTCATTCTGTTACACGAAATTACAGGTAAAATAAAATATTCTTAAGTGCAACTACTGGACCAAGTACTACAGCTTTACACATAGCAGTATCACACCTACTTATTTGTGCATTCAGTCTGTATGCATACGTATACCTGCCTGCAGACCCTTCCAGAAAATAAAGGAAGCTTCTTAGAACAATGTATTTAGTAGTCATTAAGTATTAGTAAATCTTTTATGAAAGCAATATAAACTAGATAAGGTAGCCTAATTTTGACAGAAAATAGACAAGGGTAAAGGAAACCCTAAGATGAATATTAACAGTACACGCACGTACACGCACACACTTGCAAAAGCTCATTTCAGAAGATGTACCTCTCACTATCAGGTAAAAAGACACAAAGGTATATTGTTCTGTTTTTCTATTTTACAAGAAGGGGATCTGTTTGAGAACCCTAAGATGTCAGCTGCTGCTGGTCGTGTAGGTTAAATTTTTTGCCAGTTTATTTTATCTTTACAGTACATTGCCAGATACTAGGCCTGGGGAATTCACCACACCCTCTCCCTCCACAGCATATTACAAGCTGGTGTGGTCCTATGCTTTAAAAAACCCTTAGCAAATTTAAAACCCCAAACTGAATGTTAGCAGCATGCAAACACACACAAGTTTCAAAACCGGATATATATTTTTTTCTCTCTCAGAAAAAGGGGTTCTGTTTTAAAACCCCTAAGATATCAGCTACAGCATGTTACAAGCTGCTGTGGCCCAAAGCTTTAAAATGACCATAGCAAAATTAAAACCCCAAATTGAAGGTTAACAGCACATGCATGTGCACACATGCACACCCACACATACACAGAGTTTCAAAAGCTGATTTCAGAAACTGAACCTTTTACTATAGGGGTAAAAGACACAAAGGTATATTGTTCTGTTTTTCTGGACCTGAGGGATTTACCACACACCCTTTCCCTCTCAAATGACAATCCAGACCCACAGAATAGCATGTAAACCATGGTGAGAACGTTTTTAAAATGAGTCTTTATTTCCATTAAATCTGTGCAATCAGGGCTGTCCCGGGGGGGGGGGGGAAAGGGG